CCAAAAAATATTTGCTCCATTTGGCAAGTCACTTTCCATCAAGTGGCAAAGGCAGACTACTTGAATTTTAAATTAGGAATTAAGAGATATAGGAACAGGGATGATTCTCCATGTTTAATAAAATCTACATTGCAGACTCAGTATTTATCCTGTATGCTATCAGCTGTAATATTTTACTCCCTTACTGCTGTATGGAGCTCAATAACATAACTATTTGCAACTTAACTGCAAATCCACATTCCTGGAGAGCAGCTCCTAGTTATGTTGTGGTTTTTTGTTACAACCTCCTTCAATGCCGTAAAGAGCCCTCCCAGCACCTCGTCTGCTGCCCTGCAGAAGTATTTGCATACCAAAATTGAAAAGCTGCTTCTCAATCTCTTTTCTGAAGGCTACAGCTCATATATAGTGACTGGTTTCACAGTTTAATAAAAAAAAAAAAAAAAAGTCTTTGCAAGCTTAACCAATAAAATATTAATGGATTTTAGTATAATTAACATTATTGGTATTATCCTTGTTGTTCTTCTTCTTAGTGTTGCTGAGAAGCTCTACTTAAAGCACCGGCACAACACAACTGCTGTCCTGAAGAGCTTAATGTCAAAAATTTGGCATTGTGGAAGAGATGTTGCAGCTACCCACAGGTTATTAGGCTCACTACGGCAGTAACTATATCAAGCTCAATGGACTGTAACGTGATACGCAAGAGGTCTGGCCAGATGATCTAGTAGTCCCTCCTGGTCTTAAGCTTGTGAATCTAAATAAACAAGATAGAAAGAAGACAAAGGTGAAATCACTTAGTAAACGGCAGAGCAGTGCCTAAGATGCAAATCACTACATTCACAGTGTAGCATCTGTGCTACTAAGTCACTGAGTCTCAGAGCTTTTTGGGGGGCATTTCATGTCCTTTCACTAACATTTACTCTGAGAGTAGGAGCAAAATAGCATATATGGTAACATCCATACACTGTGTGTGCTTTGAGGGCACAACAGACAAGGCCTGAAGGGTAAAGATGGAAAAGGAAAGCAAGATTTCATTTGCTTTAGATGACAGTTTTCAATGCCTTAAACCCCTTGACATAGTCTTTTGTGACCTTCCTTCACCTCTTGGGTTCTGCAATTTACCCACTGTGAAATACTCTGTTAGATTACACTGGTTCTCATATAAAAACACTTAAGATGTTGTATGCATATGTAAAAGTCAAAATTTCACACTGGCTTTCTTCACCTTGCAACTGCAAGCTATTTTCATGTTCTCTTTTCCTGCAGGTCTCAGTCATCCACGACCTCCTTTTTTTTTGCATTTGTGTGTGCTAGCATAAATGTTGCATAGATGTGCAATTACATATAGGTTAGGGGAGACAGAAGCAACAAAGGCTGCACAGCTGCCAGCTGGGAGTTGCAGGGGCAGGTGGAGTTACACCTAGAATGAAATTGATCCTCTCCTTTCACAGTGCAGCTTTATTTACCATGGTCTCTTGTTCCTCTCATCAGCCCTGTTCCCTTTCATGTCTTTACTATTAAAGTTATTAGGAAAATTATTCATTCAATTGCTTGTAGAAGCTGCCCAAAGATAAATACATTCAGCTTAATAAACCTTGTTAGCAGGAAGGAAGGGAAGAATGCCTAATTAATGTATTAATGATTATAATGCACTTTGAAGATTAAAAGTGCTGTGAGCTCTAAGGGTACGTTTCTGCCCTCCAAAGTCCCTAGGAACCGTGTGCAGAAGCTAATTCTAAACATTATCACTACTACAGTATGGCAGGGAAGAAGATGCACGTACTCACCACCCTGGATCTGCATGCAGAGGTTAACCCAGCTTCCAGATACCGCCTGTCTTAAACCAACACAGCTACATATTCTTCTTCAAAAACAGGAACAGAGGAGTGCTACGAGGAACCATATAATGCAGTTCATCCATGCTCTGTGGATACACTGCACAGCTATAATACCATTACGTTTACCTAGACAGAACAGATTGAAACTTCGCACCTTGGAAGTTAAACACTACAATTTCTCACACTAATGGGTTTTCCCAACTCTCAGTAGGCTGAGTCTCCCCTCAAACAAGAGCTGCTGGGACAGTCCCCTTGCTAATAGACAGGATGCAACAAGTCTGGTTTTAGAGAAATGACAGCTTAGGTCAGAAGTGCAGGCAGAAATATTGTGACATGATAATCCCCAGCTACTGCAGGGAAAGGGCATATGGCTCAATGGAGACTTCCAGCTGAAGTTTCCATGGCTCAGGAACAAAAGTATTTCTCCTCCCCATGTTTCTCCTCATCCAGACAGTATAGCACAGGCTGAGATCTGAAGAACAGATTTGCCTTTTGCTGCAGTAAGAAATCTGCCTTTACAGCAAGTGAAAATAAGTTGCTTAGAAAGTCTCTCGGATGTCACTGCGCAAACAAAATACGAGCTGCTAATAACAGGTTTCTTAGAGACACATTTCCTTTGCATGTGGTACCAGGAGGCACATACTCTAGGCTCTCATTATTATGGGCTTAGGTTATGAAAACTTTAATGAACATATTTTAAAATGTCAGTCTGAAGAAATCAGGTACTAGCATTTCACATTTGCATATTGGTCTCCTGAAAACACTGAGCAGTCTCAACAAATCTTAGAAAATAAAGAAAAATGCACATAGCAAGTTTCACATATGTCTGGTGAGGGGACAAAAGGGGCAGAAATTTGTCAGTCTACATATTTTCTGGTTATCACTGGAAATATTGTGAATAAATCAATTTATGCTGTATTGCTCACTTCTGTAGCATTTAAAAAAATAAAATCTCAGTTCACCTAGGTACCCACAGAGCATTAAACATTCTGAAAACCCCACAAATCCCCTGCGGGGAAGACTCATGTCTGTGTCAGAGGCCAAAGAAGGTAAGGTCTCGGCAAGCAAAGCGCACAGGTGACCTACAGCAGATGCAAGAACAAAGCCACCGCAAAGCCCTGAGCTTTACTCCCAGACACGGGTGCACAGAATCAGCTGCACCCCTGTGCCTTGTGAGCAGGAACAAGCGGCAGCCACTTGCATTCGTTCAGACAGACCAGCTGTGCTCAAGTGGCAATGTTTTTTTGCCAGGCTAAAATCAGCATCTGTTTGTTCCAGTCTCTTCTGAAGTGATAAGCACGTATGGCTACTTTCACTTCAGGGGATTACAGGCTGACAATTACTGACTGGACGAAGAGTAATAAATCAGCCTTTCCTCCACAAATTAATACACTGTCCGATAAAGCTGAGGCTTTGTTTGCACAGGCCATGTAATTTACCAATAGCAGTAGTTTATCAAATTGTCTTTTATGGATTTGTCTGTGCCCCAACATGAAAATTTTATTTTTTTGTAACATGTATCATTTTTTTTTTTTTTTTTTTTTTTTTTTGGTAACATGGTCATATATTCTTCCTTTCTTTTCCTGGGATATTAACAAAATCCAAACCCAACACCACTATTCCCTGAGGTTATTGAAGGGAACTCACACACACTGCTCTAAAACCCACATGAAAAACTAAACACAAATCAATCACTTCTCCCTACAATGTTACTTCTTCTCCCGCTCGCTGTCTCTCACACCTGCCAGTGTGTTAGGACAGCAAGAGCCCGCTCACAGTTCACACTGTTGCACACGTGGATGCCCGCCACTGAAAGAGGTTTCTAGGTGCTTGCAGTACACCAAATAAAGCACTGAAAATCAGAAACAGCCTGGTTTTCAAAGCTGCTCTGCTTTCAGCTACCAGGAGCTTCTATCCTTCTTATAAGCTGCTGATTGCTATCCAAGATCAGATCATTAACAAAGTCATCTCATCAGCGAAGAGCCATGGCAATAGTCTGACTGCATCTCAGACCTCCATTCTTGCTCTTTATCTTCTCTCCTTTCCTACAGCAGAAGCAGGTCTTCACCCTTAGGACAGCAATGTTCAGTTTTGTGCATGTTCCTGAGGAGCCCCAGCGCAGTTCTGTGAAAGCCTGTACAACAAATGCCTCAAGTGGAGGCTGTAGGAATAAAAGCAGGGGTGCCTGAACCTAATAAAAAACTCAGCTGCCGAATGAATTAACTGGGGACATGTCCCTGATTTCCCTCTCCCTTTGTCCTTTTCATGCTTTCCAAATCCTCTCCACCAGCTATCAGCAGAAAGATCCCTGCTCTCTGGTTGCGGGGAAGAGCTGAGAAGGTGTTAGAATGACTTTCCTGGATGGAAAAAGAGGGTCCAGGCTCTGCAGCAGCCTCCACAAGATGTCTAGTTCAGGGCAGATAATCTGTGGAATTTCTTCCTTCAAGAAGCAGTTCTGAATCCAAGTTCTACAAAAAGTAATCAAACCAATGAGAATTGCTTTGAGGCAGAAGTTGGCCTCCACCAATCTTAAAACAGAAGCCCCAGAACTACGTGTCAGAATAAGGTTCTTCTGACACAAACAACTCAATGCCTAGAAAGGATCAAGCAGCTGGAAAGTCGTTGCAGGCCTATACCTCTTTCTTGCCACTCTATGCTTGTATTAAAAGTTGCCTTAAAAAGACAAAATTGATTTTGCCGTTTTCATTCATTACCGTCTATAGAAACAGGTACAAAAAAGTCTGTGTCCTTGCCCAGGAGGGAATGGATGGCAATACAGCTTAGGCACTTGGAATGCTTTTATTTAGTCTTCCCAAATTCTCCTGAAGAACTGTCAGAGGATTTGTGAGAGGGCTCTTCTGGACTAAAAGCTCTGAGAAGGTCACAGGAACATATTTTCTTTTGCAATTTTTTCAGGCTTTAAAGTCACAAAAAAACCCCAAAACATCCTTTCATACTTTAAAAAAAAAGTACATGAATACAAATCAGTACTACTCCATAGCAAGTCAGGTTTCACTTCCACTTGGCTGTGACATAAATCTTGTAGTGTAGATACAATAACAGGAGCATCTTCCTTTTTGGAAACTTTAACCATTTGCAGAATACTTCACTGATCATACAGAAGCAAATGTCAGCACAGTCAACAAAGATACAGTGGCACTTTTGTATGTTTATTGAAAAATATCAAGCAGTCATATTGCTGAAAATAATTTTTGAAAAAAATCGTTTCTCCATGCTTGAAAACACTGTTTAGGGCACAAATGCACTTCTTCACCTGAATGGCTAGAATCTGCTTCAAGCGGAAAAGCAATTGTTGCACCTCAAGGCAAGTGTTCTTACAAGTCTGTAAAACAAAGATTATAGAGCCCCAGTATAACTATTATCACTGTAGACATTTAATGGTTCAGTAATAATGATATGGGAGTCTCTCAAAGTATTCCTTTACTCATGCTATTATGTTTTAACCCATAAAGAAAGCTTTAGAAGGAACCTTCTGTTGCCCATCAGCCACAAACCCACATCAAGAAGTAAATAAATAGGAAGTTACTGAACCATTTCAACCTCAAAGGACTCAGTATGTTGTCTCTTCCCAGCAGGTAAGAACATAAAATATAACTTCTACCATCTTATGGCAGAATAATGTCTACCATCTTACATCATCATCCTTTTTGTATTTCTATCTACAATAGCAAGATAAATCAAGCATCAAGCCCCACCCCCAGATAAGTAGAAAAATCAGTTGATTTTCACAGCAGCTACACAAAAACAAGGGATAAATAAAACCAACATGACCTTTGCCAGTCACGATTGTTCTTCTTGCCCATCCTGTCTCTTTATATTTGAGCTAGCTTTGGCACAGCAGACTTGGGCGCTGCCCGAGCATGAATAACAAACACCGCACCGAGTCACAGGGTGAGCCTGCGGGCCAGCCAGCAGGACCCTGATATCCCAGCCACTGAGCTCTGGCTATAGGAGGTATTTCTCGTTAGTGCAGCAGCAGCAGCAGCGAGAGGAGCCCTCGGAAGAGGTGCGCTGCATCAACAGTTGGAAATCTGGCCGAGATTAACTGTTGCAGAAGCCTGTAAGGACTGTGCTTTTAGGGGCACTCGCACGCAGTTCACGCTCAAGTGAAACAAAGGTCTCAGTGCTGTCCTTTAGCCCTGAGATGGTGCTTCTTCCAAACCCTTTACCTTCCTGGTGCTTAGAGCGCCTAAACTAACCCACCCTACGAGAAAGGACTCCAAAACTCTGACTACAGATGGTGCTTTTATACCCTTGCAGGATGGCTCCATCGTGTGACAAAAGGAGAACACTGCACCCACATGGGAATGTACTCAATAAAACAAAGCCTGCTTTCTCAGCAGGTGGTCCTCTGCCAGTGACTTAATTTATTCTAGCTAAAAAAACCCAGAGCAGTTCTTGGACAAAGATCTAGGATTAGCAACTGAAATACAGCCTTCTTTTTAACCCCTTTGTAACTTCTACACAGAAATGCTGCTTTGTGCTTCAGAACTCCAGTTTAGCCTGGAGGAGGAGGAGGGCTGTGGGATAAGTGGCAGTCGCACAGAATATATGAAATAAAGCTTTAAGTTTAAAGTTTTCATTCATTCAAGCACTGTGTCCTTTTTATAGTAGGAGTTTGTTATTTTCATCACCCCTGTCCATGTAAGTCAGTTATACACTTTCATTTCCAAGCCATCAAAATGTATAAAATTTTAAAAGTTAATATTAATGAAATAAAATGGATATAAACTCAAGTAGTTTATCTCCTTTAATGCAATGAGTAAGATATTATTTACTCTGTGGTCTACACTGAGAAGCTTTTGAGCTATGTGTGTGGCTTGCAACCATATGGCTACATCAGGGGAGCCTTGACATTTACACGCCAGCGATGCTACCTCACTTCCTTCCTCCCCCGCTCCAAACCTAGCTCGCCTTTTTTCACTGTTCTTTCCAGATACTCTCCCAGTGCTTATGACCTTCCTTCATTTTACTAGCATATTAACTGTCTCCACCCTGGAGACCTCCTCCCTTTGGTGCCCATTTGCCTGCACCCAGCTCACAGACGTTTCCCTTCTGGGACCTACTTCACTGTCCCACTGCCTGGTGGGGCAGCAGTAATTGCCCTTCCCAACGCTGGCCTGCATCAGCTTTTCAGCTTTGAAATAAAATACAGAAACGGCACAGTGGTGTAGAGTGTCCAGCTTGGATGGAGTTAACTTGCTTCGTAGCAGCCCATATGGTGGCGTGCTTTGCATCTGTGGCTAGAACAGTGATAATAATACACCACTGTTGTGGCTACTTCTGAACTTGCACAATATCAAAGCTTTTATCTCCAAGCTTCTTGTTCTGGACATGAGGAGCATCACTTCCAGTGCAAAGGATGAAGTTTAGCCAGCACAGGAGGCTCCACGTGGCAAGATGGATGAGGTGAGCAAGCATCAGCACAAGTTGCAGAAGTAGCTGCCCCAGGACCAGGGGCAGGCACTGCCCAGGAGCCACCTGTGGGCACCCCTGCCAGGGACCCGACACCATGGCCCAGCTAGGGTCCCAGAGGTCAGCCATGTCCCAGAAGTGCCCTACCAGGGCCACAGCCAGCAGGATGGTGCAGGAGTGTGAAGGGCTTTATGTCAAGACAGTGCTGCCATGCCATGCCATGGCCCTGCCGTGCCTGCCCTGAGGTCGACGTCCAGCAGCCCTGCCAGAGCCCTGCTCACCTCCCTCATCTGTGCCATGTGGAGTCTCCTGCTCCAGCCAAACTTCACCCTTTGGACCTTGTTATGAGGCAGATGGACCCAGTAAAAAGCCTCATTCCAAGCTTTCTCTGCCCACCCCCTATCTATAGAATTAAGCAGATAATCACATGAGAGTACTGAATTCTTACTACTAACCGCGTGCATGCGTGAAGACCTACTACCACTTACTACCACTACCACTTATATAAAAGTTTAGATCTTTAGCCTTTATTATTTTCAAGGAAATAAACTTCTTTAGCTAATGAAAGGGAGCTATTTGATAAAGCTTCTTACAGACTCAGACGTGATTAATTTACCACAGCTTATTAAATTACTGTCAGCTGAGTTACAATAAGTCCAGGGCTTGCTCTTAACCTAGAGTGAATTCAAAGCAACAAGGCTCAGCTTAGACCAAAAAGGTCTCAGATAGGTCTTGGTACTTAGCATTTGTCACAAGCTAAAAATATACACTGAGAGCGACCACAGTTCAGATGACTAAGTGTAATTGCTTAATGACAGTAAATCGACCAGAGCTCTAAGTAGTCAGTCTTTCTGATTATTAGGAGATCACAGGATAATACAGTTGGGAAGGAAATTCAATATAGGTCAGACCAGGTTGCTCAGGGCTGAACTCAAGAGCAAAACCAATCAAGCAAAGAGATACAAACTTTCAAATTTTTTACTTTATTTTCAGTTTTGCACAGTAACGTACTGTGCAGGTGTATAACATTCAGAAATTTCTTTAGTAGCAAAATGTACAGTAACAGGGTACAAAAAAACCCCCCACTTTAATTCTGCTTACCGTGTAAGCAAGAGCAGAGGAGTTATAACCCTCAATGGCTTTTATATCAGACTATTGCTGCTCGAGAAAAGCACCACGATGTGCCAAAGCCTGAAGCCTGATACCTGACAGACTGCAGCGAGCTCCCCAGGACTCCCAGTGAGTTCACTGGGGGCCAGCACCGGTACAGCACTTCTGCCCTTTGTGGCATGCAGCAGGACCAGACCTGACAGCACATCCTCCCTCCCCATTCCCCTTTTCCCCATTATGAAGGCTGGCTGTACAGAGAGAGATGCAATCCATGTTTAGAGGACCCTCTTTGATCTTATTAGTCACCCCAAACCAAACAGCAACTGAGGATCTTTTGAGCACTGCAAGATCAATTCATAACTGATTACGCAGCATCAGGCAGGATTCATCATGCAGTATACTTTTCCTCCCCCTGTTTTTTCGCTTTGTGGTAGTGGTTGTAATCATTATACAGATCCTTAAAGACCTCCCTTACACCTGCTGGTAGCGACACATTTAAGAACTTGATGTCCCGCTCAATGCAAAGGTCAAGGATGTGATATATCCCTTCTGTGAGATGTCTCTTCACAGCCGGGTGCAAAGTCACCTATGAGAAGAACAAAACTGCATTAAACTTGAAGACAAAAAATGCAAGAAAATACCCTTTCCACAGTTGGTATACATTAAATGCTGACAATGTGTTATCCAGTGCATCAGACCATCTGGAACAGACCATTAGATAAAATCCAGGATTTTGACTTGTGCAATATTTCCCTGAATTTTGCAAATATGGTTTGCAGAACAAGCATGGCCCTTGCAGTAGAATCCACAAGACTGCTACTATACACATTGCTGCGGAGGCAAAGACAGTGATCATCCTGGAATCACATGGAAACTCCTCAGCAGAAAAACTGTAATTAACAAACCCTAAAATACTTGCCCTGGATTACACATTTCAGTAGATTCTGTATGTCTCATATTAGCTGTATACTACTGAGTCTCAGTTTCAAATGAGCACTTCCTTTAGGCTACACTATCATTTACACTGGGTAGTCAATCATTTTTAACTTCTCACTTCACAACTTGGTATTTATCTAGCAATATGTAGCCAAGGACTTCAACATATAAGCCTTAGTAAGAGAAGCCTTCAAAAAGCTCGGGAGATGAGCACTGCCTTGATCTCTTTTAACATCAGGAATCAGGTACCTTACCTGAAGTCATGCAGAAAGCTGAAAGAATACAAGGACTCTGTCTCAGTGCCCTGCTCCTGTCATTACCCCTCAACCCCACAATCAGAAGAACTGCCACCACAACCAGGAACATCAGTGCTGACTCTGGAGTCCTCTGGTGCTCCAGGGTAACTGAGATTTGTCCTTCACTCACAAATCACTTGCTAAATACTTCACTGCCTGAAGCGGTGCTGGCCTCTGGCATAATCGCATTATTTTTGCTGCAGAACCACGTCTTATCTTTGCTGAATCCCAAAATTAGCTTTATGCCTCCAGACCCAAGCCTCTGCACTCCAGGCCTAATGAAAATCACATAAAAAGCTGTCATTAAAATTCAGACTTCTTTCTTCCTGAGGCAACTAATAAACTTTCTGCTAATGAAGTGCACTCCTAATCACTGTGACAGGCTCCTGCTCTCTTTCTGCCCTAAATGCAAAACAGCTAATATATTTTATTAGACCTGCTAACATAGCTGGGAAAAACATACAGCAGACATTAAGGCACATACGACTTTCTTTGGATCTGTGTCCCTGAAGAGTTTGCATGTCCAAAAAGTTGTCGGTTTTCCCCCTCTATGTCAGTTGATCTATCGTCTGCTTTATAACAGATGTTATTTCTCCCTAGGCCATGCGCTGAAGTAACAGAAGAGTTGAGCATCACAGCTCCCAGTGAATGCACTGGGCTGGGCTCTCCCTTCATAGGGCAGAGAAATGACTGCAGAGAACAAGGACAGGAAAATCCACAGCTATTGACAAGATGGACCAGATGTCCCACTTGGGATAAGCAGATACCTCAGAGCTGCAGTTAATGGAACCTGCATCCCTCACACCACAAATTAATTTGGACCCACACCTTATTTGGGCCATTCTTGCTTTGCAGTGCTGTTTCCCATAAACACACTCCAAGAACACCATGGGAAGCAGAACCAAAGATTTAAACAGCTGCCACTACTGGCTGGCAGTTAATTATGCTTGTAAGAGTTTTATGGTCTATATAGATAGCACAACCAATTTGTCAAGCATTACAGAGCTCTTGATGTGAGACATTAAATGTGTGAAGAGGTATTTCAGTATCACTGAATTAAGCAACAGCTCATAGACGAGGGAAAAGCACTGTCAACAGTATGAAAGAGGCTATAGATGCCACCCACTCCAGCAAGGAATCTTTTAGATTAACACAAAATAATTCATAAGGGTATTTTATTCCCTGGTATAAAGGGGAAGGACCGAGGGAACATGTTACACAGCTACTCTAGGAGTGACTGTTTAGGCCAGTAGCTTTCATCAATTTTAGTCTGCGGACCCCTAAAAGGGTTCCAGTAAGCGTGCAGATGCCCATCTAAAGACTTAAATCTACCAACATGCTTTTCTCGGTTACCTTTGATGGACCCCCAGGGTCTTCAGATCACAGGCTGAAAGCCACTGATCCAGACTCAGAAGAGATGATGGTTAAAGGAGTTTTTCTCTCCCTCTGCAGAGCAACATGAAAGATGTGTACGTGCCACCCCTAATACAGGCGTGCTGAGGCCTCCCCTTCCTCCAATATCCATCAATTCACACCAGTCTAATGAGCAAATAAATCATCACCTACTTGTGATCTATCTATTCTGTCAAACAGAAACACCCCTTTGTCAGAGCCTCTAGTGGCTCACTACACCGATTCCCCTTTCCACACCCAAAGGCTCCATGCATGCATTACTGATCTGTGGTTTCAGCTATCATCCATCACTTTCCATTTCCCAGGGAAAGTACTGCACAAAACTTTCCTGGAAGTCTCATGAAACCTTGTGCTCCTGCTAATACTGAGATAAGTGTCCTTTAACTTGAAAAGATTATTTGACAATTCAAGTGAGGCTTTCTAACTTATATTCAGTGATTCAGATCACAAAGTTCAGAGATAGTTAAATAGAGCAGAAGTAGTATTAATAGTAATTTGTCCCTAGTATTTGCTGAACTACTACATTTACTATGTAAACAATAACCAGTTTACCAGGAACACTAAATAACATGGCTAAAACCTGACATATCCCATTGTTTTGCTCACAAGCCTTGCAAAAAAGATGGGCAATAGAGAAGACAGCTGAGTTAAAGCTCTGTTACACTGGTTACACCATAATCCTTCAGAAACATAGCACCAGTTGGGATATTTTTGTGGTAAGAGAGCCTCAAAACAAAGACAAAAATTCCTTTCTGTATTTCAGTCCATGCCCAGGCCAGAGCCACAAATAATCAATTTGCAGGTACTTGCAACACAAGCAGCATTCAAACCCTAGTGAAATCTAAATCCCTTCGCCTGAATAGAATGACAGTTTGAACTTAGGTCTGGATGTGAGAAGCTACTGAGCTGACTCTGGCACCTCTAATAGCAGTAGCTGTTTTCAGTAAAGATCTGAATGGTATCTTTGGTATGGAAGGGGAATTACTGAAAAGCTAACAATTCTCTAGCTTAGCAACAATTTTTCCATTCACTTACTCATTTAGACCAGATTAAAAAATACTTTTCAAGAGAATTTTTCTCCATTACTCTATCAGATGGGGCCCTAACTGCTATCAGTCCTGGACAGCTGAGACTAGCTGGAAGAAGAACCTAACTACCACATGAAGAAAAAACAACAGCCAACATGACAGAAAAGCAGAACAGTTCTGTAAACAGGCATTGCACTGTTTTGCCTTAAAAAAAACCCACAGCCCACACTTTCAGAAAGTTTTCAGGAGCTGGATAAGAAAGACTCTCAGGAATTCTTGCTCAGAATAACAGGGAGTCTGGATCAAACCTGTATCCCCATGACACACAGCAACTTTTATAACTTCACAGATTTTACAAAACTTAACACAATTGCCTTTGGAACAGGAACTCCAAAGCCAGCACAATACCATAGCACTTTCAAGATAGATGAGAACACGTTACCTTCTGCAATTCAGTCACATACTGAGCCACAATGAAAGCAGAAAACACAGTAAAGTCCTCCATTTCTGCAGCAATATGAGTATACATCCGTTCCACCAAGTGCGCACACTTCAGTATAACTTCAAAGTCATCTGTGTTGCCTGAAACAGAAAGTGAGTTGCAGTCTGGCATTTGAGGCTTAAAAACACTAGGAAAAAAAAAAAAAATCAGAGAATCACGCAGCCTTCCATGATTCTTGAACTAGATGAAGCCAACAGCAGCCTGCCCATTTTATCTTCTTTTCTTATCAAGCCACAGCTGAGAGGCCCCCCCAAACCCCTACAATACACCACATGCATCTTTTGCAATGGTTATTTTGTAAGAGCACACTGATTCCAACTCCACGTGCACTGCAAGGCAAAAAGTATTTGTTATAGATGCTGAAGTACTAAAAGCAGCAGCTATGATCCCTCCCACGATCCAGTCCCAACTAGTGCTGTGGAGGAGAGAACAAGGAGACAGGAAAATTACATCCTCTACCTTCAGAAAATCAGAACATGTCTCTTAGAAACAGCATAGTAGGAAAGCTTGCTGCTGAGATCTATTATGTGGAATACAGCAGCAAAAGACACTTCACTGGAAATATTTAAAGTGAGACTGGAGACATCACCTGAGAACTTACTCAGCAGGCAGAGAATGAAGAGAGCTAACACAAATGAGGGAGAAGGGAAATCTATAAATTACTTTCATGTTATCTGTTGTGAAAATAGAACAATCCTGCAAAGATAAACAGCATTTTTTTTAACTTAAGGATGCCATGTACCTGTAAATTTCCTGTGACCCTTGCCTTAGGTAAGCATATTGCAGAAGCAAGCAAATTCTCAAAGTTTGGCACCAGTTTAATGCACCTTTTCCTCTATCACTGAGCCTTTGTTAGTATATTCCTCCATGATACACTTATATATGCCCACAGTTATGGGCAATGTATCAGCTGAAATAAATCTGGACATCAGTGGAAAGCTGGGATACAATCAGTTGCAGGCCATGAAGTCAACTTGTCTCAAAACATCACCACTGGTAATGACAGGGTATTTCTGTCCTCACCAGCATAATGCACAGGATGACTACCTTAATCACTGAGAACATCTTTGACTTGGCTACTTTGACAACGCAAATTCTTTAATAACCTCCAGTAACTTTTTTTTTTTTCTCTTGCTTTTGAGACAATTAACTACACTAATTCCAAATCCTTGGCCATACAGATGTATCATCTAATTCCAAATGATGCTTCAGATACGTGTAATATTCTGGCTTTATGCTTAGCATAGAACGGTGACAATTCAGGTCTGTAGTAAACATGGTTCCAGTCTCAAGAAGCTCCATTTAGTAGGACTGCTTCAGGGCTATAACTCAGGCATACTAGCATGTATTACTAGAGTTCACAGCCAGCATGCTTTCAGGCACGGAGGCTGATAGGAAGAAGAGAAATTGGGCAAGCCTTACCAGTTGCTGTCTACTTGCCAGCCAGACAGTGAAGAATACCTTATTCACCTAAAGCAGTGCTGTCTGCAAGCACCTCCACAGGAGCCCCAGTTATCTTCGTAAGCCCACGATACTACAAAGCTCATCCTCTATTTTCCATAAAGGACAGATAGGGCTAACAGTTTTAATGCCACATCTAGGTTTTGAAGACTTTGCTTCTGGTGTCAGGCTGCCCTGTTCTGCATCTCCTCTTCTAGAATATAAAAAATTACAGTGTGTATATATAACGCAAAAGGGGAAAAGATATGGTACCTCCATCTCCTTTCTGACGTCCTTCGTGCATCACAGAAACAACTAGACGATGGAAACTGTTCAGAAAAGATGGTGCTGCTTTCAACAGCACCTGCAGAGACACAAAATAAAAACTGAGATCATGCAGTAAAGGGAGGGGGTAAAGGTACACCATCCCATAGTCTGAGGGAAATCAGTTCATGTGAAGGAACCTACTATAGAGATATCAGGAGCAGAGACTATCTTTTCATTCTGCATCCATACAGTACCTAGCACATGAGAATCCTGGAGCAGGATGGCAGTCCTGGCCATATTCAAATATAAATAACAAGTAAACATCGTATTAGAGTTACTTCATCTCTCCAAAGCAGCATTTGATTTAGTACCCTAATATCTAGGGAATTTGTTCTTGCTGGTAGAGAACCCATGTAGCCAGACAGATTCACAGAACACAGGGTTCAGCAGCACTACAGATCACTGCGTGAAAACACAGATCACTGTGTGAAAACAGCCTGCATGAGCAGCTTTCTACCACAGGTTTTCGCAAGGGCATTTTAGCAATGCATACTGCCTCGCTTTTCAAATTTGCTATTTCCCCATCTTTAACTTTCTTCACTCTCAATTCTAATACAAACGCATGAGGCCTCTTTGCTTTTTTCTTCCACCTCTGCCTACATATTCCATGTAGGAATATCTCCAACCATGTGCAAGTCCTGGCACATCTTCACCTTCCCATGCCACAAGGCTGACAAGAAACCAGGATGGTACAGTGTTTCAAGGTCACCAACTTCTAACATGTCTAAGCCCTATTTTCAAAGGACTGCAGAACCTTATGTCCGGCAAGAATGAGGTCGTAGAGCCTGAGCCATTTGTGCTTCTAGAAATCAATCACTAAAAACAGGGAGAGTTTTATTCTAATCTAGCATCAGATGTTGATAAGCAATTTGCTGCCAGAGACCCAGCAATGCAGGCATAAAATGAAGGAGGAGACTAGAAATGATGGCATTTTGAGATACCCAGCCTTTTAAGTGACAAGAAATGCAAACCACTTTCATAGTATCAGGACAAATTATTTCAAAACCACTACTAAAAAGAAAAATTCTCATCACTGCCCTCTGTGTTGGTTCTTACTACCTTCTCCCCCTTCTCCTACCCCTTCACAGATATACCTTTGGATGACACTGCACAATAGAGAAGAGCACTTCATGGACTCCCAGGAAGACACTGCGATACTCCTCTATCTTCACATGATCCAGAGGGACTGTTAGGAGAATGCCGAATGCCAGTGACACATGGTGTGGATTCAAGAGAACCCCTTCTCCTTGCCTTAGCAGAGCTGCTACTGTCTCTAAAATAGGTACAACTATTGTGGAAATCAGTGACTGGTCCTGACAGGCCTCTTTGGTTTGCATCTACAAGAAGACAGGAAACAGGTAAAGAGTGCATTAGCTACCTATTGCTAGCATTCGCACACCAGGGAAACATAATACTCTGACTTGAGTCCATGGAACTAGACTGGTACAAGCTGGCCTGGCAGGGAGACACCTGCACTTCAGCCATTTTCATGCAGCTGCATGAAGATGCATACGATACATTTCAAGCCAGCACTGCTGTGAATGTGGAATTGTAATGATTCCCCAGCACCCTGACAACCAGCACCTCTTTGCACCTCCTCACATGAATGAGTTGATGCAGTTCTTTCCTTTACAAGCATGCAGACCTATCAAAAAAAGGGCAGAAATTGCATGCTCATGATTCCCAGGCATTGCAGAGACAACCTCTGACAAATTCTGGTCTACAGACACTGTCACCACGAGAGAAGAAAAACCTACATCACTGTGTTTGTGTGATGTACAAATGAGGGACAGGAAACCTGGGTTTGGTCACTTTCAGTTAAGTTTCCCTTCATAATTCAGTGAATTTGTATTATTATTTTTTTAATATGAGCACTTTTTTCTTTCTGTTTTGCTGCTGTTGGCTTCTGCTGCGACATATGACTGACAGTTACCTTCTCGTTTGGACAGGAGGAAGGATGGGAGACTCCGACTCTCTTCTCTGCAGCCTAACAAGTTTCTCCCAAGCTCCCAATTACGTGTTGCAGTCCCAGAGAATTACTGATAGTAAAAAATGGATGACCTACACACTGCACTCACAGGACGAGATTTACCTGAGGCAGGAATAGAGAAAGGGTCTAGACAAAAGGTGAATCTGGTATGTATCCACAACTTTTTTGTTCCTGCATGCCTCTGTGCATGTTAGATGTAACTGATACAGACTCCAACAAATAAAAGGGATAGGTAGTGAAGTTACAATAAAGAGATACTTACAGCTAAAGCTGTGATTATCTGTGGGCTGGCAAACCAGAAAGCTTTCTCTTTGTCTCCACTTAATGGGCAGCTGAGCAACAATTTGGTTAGTGTAACAGCTGACAATACTTCCTGCAGAAAGCAAACTGATGATCAGTCACAGGCACAAGATACACTGGCTCCTTTCAAGTACAGAAGAGCTCTTTTTTGAGCATCACCAGAGCCTTGACACGTGAAAGTCCTCCCACCAACACATCTCTGTGAAAATTGTGAAGTAAGCAGCAGCTCAACAAAATTCAATATGCTCAGCAGCACTGGCCCAAATGTACTGCACGCCACGTTTATTTTAGAATCAACTTACTGTACATAAGAGCTTATGTGATTGTTAAGAAAGGAAAGCCTTCTCCTTCAACTATCACTAGATAACAGAGGGAAGCAGGAGGAATATAGGAACACCAGTACACTATATGCCACGAATGATGCATTTGGCAGCAGTTTTTTTTTTTTACTTGCTGGCTGTTATGACAGACTGATAAAAGAAACATATTACAAGCAATACTCAGGTGGTAGGAATGATATGCACAGTACAGGAATTCCAGATACACTTTCAAAAAGACGTATCAAGAATTGATGCAGCATATCTGTGTCTATTTCTGACAAGTAAGAGCCAGATAAACCCCCAAGTTTAATTCAAGTTTCATTTTCAAGTCACTGAGCTTTCTATGGAGGTTACAGCTGGATTTTTTGCCAGAAGTGTTCCATATGTTACCACTGCTCCTTAAGCTGCTCTGGAGAAAGGCATTGTATTTAAAAAGCTACTGAGTGGTATCTGGTTATTACAGAGTAAAAGCCTTTATAGAGACAAATACCAAAAGCACAGGTGCAGTTCTGGTTTTACTTAAAAATGCCAGCATATCTAAAAGTGCCTTTAACTCTGGTAAGCTGGGCCACAGGCAAGCAAGGGTTAATCTCAGTGACTGATAGTATCTGTTGTGCAAGAGTTCTGATCAGGAAGGAGAAAAAATTTCATCGAGGCCTGGAACATCACAGCTGTGTGACTTCTGTTGACAATACATAGAATTAAGACTGCTGAGTCCTTAAACCGAACAGAAAGTTTTTCCAGGTTTCCATGATCTTTCCACCTCTCAATTTATATCCAGAACGTAACTCAGCACAGTCACCAAGCCCTTAACCATGTAAATGAATTTGACCTGACCACTGAACATAAAGCAGGAAGAAAAAAAAATATATAATCCAACAAAACTTTTTCAAGACACAGAAAACTGAAAAAGTTGATAATAAACTAAGCTCATGCCTTACTTTAGCCTTCTGTTCCCAAACGTTCCTCATTTCAAGTCCCTGCAGCACCATCCTCATAATGGTATAAAACTCCTCGGCAGAGCAGTTTCCCAGCAGCTGGACAAGCACCTCTGTCAGCATCCCCTCCATGCTGTGGATCACCTGGGTGGTGATTGCAGGACCTACATATTCAGGAGACACAAGCATGTCTTAATCAATTCCCAAGACAGGGACTTCCACAGATAAGAACAGGGTGAACTGAACCTTAAAACAGCTCTCGGTACCTTTTTAACACTCAAATGCATAGAGGGCCTCATGCTTTCCCTTTACCTCCTTCCCTAATAGTGCAATGAACTGCTGTTCTCGAGTATTTCCTACCACAGGGTTCACAGCGCAGACAAGATACCAATAAAAAGCCTTCAGTAGCATGGAAATACTATAGGAAAATGTGCACACAAGCCAAGGGAGCAGGCTCAACAAGCCACAAGGCTTTACTACAAATGCTAGCCAGAAAGCCATCACAAGTCACAAAAGCATTAAGCTGACAAAGTTTAGGTCTCTGCTGACTGTATTTCACATTCCACACTTACTCAATTATTAGACAGTAGGCAGTCCTAGACTAGCTTATATCTTAAATTGATTCTGAAGGCTCATTTTTAGTTCCACAAGTATCCACAGGTTCTGTGGCAGTAGTACCAAATCTTCCTCAACAGGAATCCATATTTCATCTTACTGAATACTTTACTTAATCATCAGAAATTCTTACAGCTTTTTACATTGATTAATTATGTCTCCAGGCTAAAGCACGTTACCAATCTTACACCTTAAAAGTGAGACACAGGATGAGAGAGAAAAAAAGTCAGCAGAAGAATTACAGCAACTGAGATGTCCTTACAGTCCCTAGTTCTAATGCAAAATCCCTGCTCTCAGTGCCTGTACTGAACCCCACAATGTTGAAGGATCAAACTGCAGGCCAGGGAAGAGAGAGACTAAGCCTCTATCTATGTGTAAGTTCTAGCTCAAACTTAACTGCGCAAATTCAAGATCATATTTTCTGCAGAAAGCTGTGTTCTGTCCTTAACTACCTAATGCCAATATAAACATTGAGAACATGACTGTAGTTCACTTGAGCAGTAGCCTCCAATACAATCCATTGGGATGCAGGAATTATAAATAAAATACCTTTAATAAATAAAGCAAAATGTAAAAAGTGTTTATTTCATCTTTATCTCATGCTTTTTAAACTTTTTTGTCTATGCTTTGTAATATACATAGTATACTAGTAGAGTAGCACATGCATATAATTTATAAACATATATTGAGGTTGCATGCTCAACATTTTTTTACTGATAGATGTGCACAATCAAAAATGTTTGGTGACCACTGCACTAGGGCATGCTAATAGTAAGTTTGACAAATCCCAACTGTCTGATGAAGTCAAAGAGAACAGTTGCACCTGTGCTGCATTTAGTTCCTCTCTTTCTGAATGAGACAATATAAATGAGCCATTAGTTCACACAGCTGGCAGGAGAAGTTTTTCATGTCATTTCTAGCCCTGGCTCTTTATTTCATGTGGGTCAAGGGCCTGATCTGCCAATCTCACACAGATGTTATCACAATTACAGGTGTTCAGCATCCTTAACAGTTAGGTGACTTTCATTGTTCTATAACCTCACCTACGCAGTAAAAAATAGATTGGTATTTTACTGTAAGGTCCCCCAAGATCCTTGGATGAGACATATCAGATCTGACCTGGCACATATCAGCTGCTTCAGTGGGGCCTACTACACCAACTACACAAGTAGGACACTGCACCTTCAGCCCTACGTCCAGAAGTATTATGTTCCAGCTACTGTCAAAATGCTCTATAGGGATGAGTTACTCAGGACCTCAACTTTACTAAGGTGTTTATATCTTCCAGAAGGTCATTACCAAATTAGATGGTGGCTATAGTCCAGGTACCACAACATGAGCTCCTTGAAATTTTCCTGTTAAGCATTTATAAAAGTCAGCCTACTACTTTAACACAAGTAAATAGATACAGACTTTTCAAAAAGATGTATGTTTTGCTAAATGTCTTTTAACTTGCCTCTGTGCTGCAAAATTAGCAAAGGAAGTGGAGAAAGGGAGTTTTCATACCAGTGAGAAGCTTTTTTATAGCAAAAACAACCATGATTGAAGTTTCTTTTCCAGGATACAGCTCTGGCACGGAGCAGAAGACTGTTAGGAACTGCAACGCAGACTGAAGGAACTGCAGATTACTTCCTGCACAGGGCAGCTCTCTCAGTATCTGAGAGTAAAATTTTTGGTACAGTTTAATACGGGGTTGCTCCAAAAACCCACTGGGCTCCTTCTGCCAGCCCTTCCTGACAGCATGGCTCAGATCTGCTTTGAGAAGAGTAGTGACAGATGGTATGAATGCTACAGGCAAAGGCTGGTTTGGGCTGTTACTCTGAAGACCGTGTTCGACAGTTCTGACCATCTGCAGAACTACTGGCTCCAACAGAGCAGACAGCACATCCGTGGACTGCAGCTTCTTTTCTGGCAGCTGCTGAAGGTAGAGCGTGACAACGTGACACAGTGTGGTGAATGCCATGAGCAGTAACTGCCCAGCTGCGGGATTCCAGTTCTTTCCACCTTTGCTTTTGGCTGCACCAATGTCCGGCTTGCAGCTCACCAGGAAAGACATGAACTTTTCCAAGTTGAGCCTCACACTTTGCCTTCTTTCAATAATCATCTGAAGAAAGTTTTCCAAAAAGGTTTGGACTTCCTGGAGATACTGTGCCCAAACGGGAACAGTCAAGACATCAGTGAAGAATTTGCTAGCTCTAAACTGTGAGGTCATGACAATCTCAAGAACATCGCTGGCATGAAACACCTTAAAAACAGAGCTGGCATTCCTGCCAGCTTGCAGGCACCTCAGGAGGTGAAAGCAGGTACTTAAAAACTTTATCAGTAACTGCTTGCTGCAAGAGACACTCGCCTTGGTATTGGCTAGCAGGGACAGCAGCACCAGAAAACACCGGGTACAGTCAGAGGGAAGAAGACTGTCTAGTTTCAGAAGAGAAGCAATTTCTAGCAAACCCAAGCAGTTTTCTAGCTGACTGTCTTTCAGGATGACAGGGCAGCCATTTTGTGCTAACAATAATATACACTGGGCAACTTTCTGCAGTGTTTTCCATGGCAAGCTGAGCTCATCCTTCAGCAGTTTGTTTTCTGACGGTGCTTCCAACAGGTCAACAGCTCTGAAAGGAGCCAGGATTTCTTCATGCCAAGGGATACTACCTGCAGACAGCTGCTGAAGTGGCAGATCAGCTGAATCCCTGGCAGCAGCAGGCAGCACTCCAGCAAACTGACGAATAAGACTGGTCAGAAAAGCACAGTGCAGGACCTTCATTTCTGGGAGAAAGGTGCTATGCATCAAACCAAGAGATACATTTCCAATGCTGATGCCAGACTCCTGGTCTGTGGCAGCTTCCTGAGCTTTGGCCAGTACTAATGTCTCTAGAAGCACATTTGCAATGTACTCTACATCTTCCAGGGAAATATATGGCAACAGGATGGTTAGGTTGGAGATGACAAGGTGCCAGTGTGCCGTGGGGTAAGTAAGATCACATATTGTGCTGATATCTTCATCCCATGGTTCAGATTCTCCCCTGCTCATGCTGGACCTCCCAGACTCCAGGATAAAAGCTGCAGCATGCTGCAAGGCCTGTAGGTCAGCTTTGGTCTGCATTAAGATCATCTTCATTTTCTGAAGTGTGAGCAGCTCTAAGCAGTATTTACTAGTGGAGGCAAAACTATTTGCAAGTTCCATGACTCTCTCCCAACACTGCTCATCCACACCAGGGAGGAAAGCTGAAATGCCCCAGTGCCTTGCAGCCAGTTCAGTAACAGCACCAGCCATTTCAGCTGTTGGAGACACGTATTTACTGCAGCTAACACCAAACAAAGTGTCTACTTCAACCCAAGTGTAAACAAGGAGGAGAGCAGAGTCACTGGCCTTTCTTAGCCAAAGGTCTGATTTCTCTTTTCTTCTAGGAGCTTGCAGCAGCTCCATCAGCGGCTGAATTATTCCCTTCTGCATCTTTGCTAGCAGACTCTGAGTGCGAAGGACCACAGGGGAAGGAGTGACATCATCTAAGCTCCTCATGTTGAACAGAAAAGCGTGCAGCACCGAGCTCACTGACAGCAGCTTCAAAGCTGTGTCAGCTGACCCCTCAAGAGCGGGAATGATAAAGGTCTGGCATTTCTCCACAAAGAGACACAAAATGTCCAGAATCTGGTTGGGTGGCAGTTCAAGGAGGCACTCACGAAGCTTTACTGTCAGGCCCACAGAGAAGATGGGCAGCCTTAGTTCATCAGCAGCTGGCCGGCAAAGGACTGTCAGCACCTCCTCAAAGAGCCGTGGGAACTGTCGCAACTTGGAGTAAGTCTGAAACACGGTGCTGATGAGGGCCTCCTGGGGCTTCTTCGTACGTGGCTCAGAGGCCTTGGCATCAACCCAAGTTGAGGCCACTAAGTCATCTAGGTCTGGTTCTACTATAAGGTGGTTTAACGACATCAAGAGTTTAAGACATCTGAACCACGCAGGGATGGAAGCTTGAGAGTGTCCAAGCAACATCTGGGCAAGCTTGCGGTAAAACCCAAACTGTACCTCCTTGTGCCGGATACGGTCACTGGCAACATTATAGATATCACTGCTAAGCACCAAATTCAGAAGCTGCTCCAAAGCAAGCAGCTCCACGCTCCAGTCCATAGGGAAGAGCGTGTCCTCCCTCATGCCCTGCTGTAGGCCAGAGAGCCTGAGACAGCCAAAAAGCCTGCTGAGCATGTGGAAACACACAAGGTGATTTTCTGCCTTACAGTATGCATCCAGAAAGAGCTTATACAGCAGGGACACCGAACCAGCCACGACAGCTCCATGGAGGGCAGGTTCACAAAAGCCACTGCCCAGCTTGGTCTGCACTGTCTTGACTGGTAGCAAAAGACTCTTCAGAGCTCCTTTCTTCTTCTCCTGGAGTTCCTGTTCTGGCAGCAGCTCCTCTTTGTAGGATGAGAAAAGCTCAGGTGGGAATAACCCAGCCTGCAGCAAAGTTTCTACTTGGTTTCGGATTTCCCTGCTCAGGTGCTGACGCACGTGGCTGTTATCTGCTTGTGTCCAGCTCCTCACGGTCAGCAAGTGCCTCAGGAGCAGACATGGCTGGAGCAAGTGACTTGACACTTGCCCAAACACACGATTTGGGTTTGTTTGCTGCCTCTGGATCAGGAGGTACTGAGCAAAGGTAAGCTGGAGGACACTGAACAACTGGGAGCCCACAGCATTGTCAGAAGCCAGCTGCTGACATGCCAGCTTGGACAGCTTGCTGAGGAGATCAACCAAGAGCTCACACTTTGCTGTGTAAATGATGGAGAGTGAAGGAGTAGAAAGGATGCCACTGGAGCAACTCAGCACCGTGCCAATGTTTTGCTGTGTTTTTTGAGAACAGGCTTCTGACAACCTTTCGTTTATGACCTGAAGATTAGAAAGAAAGGGGGGGAAAAAAAAAAAATCAATTTTGCACACAAAGATAAAGCTCATCATAATGAACCAACACCACATTCTGTGAGCTCTGGCTGTAAGAAGGAAGCAAGAGGGACCTGCCAACAGCTGCTGCTGGGCCTCTCACATTGTAAGTCTCAAACTAGAAGTTCCTCTGGCCAGAACTGTGTCTCTGCATTTGTCTGCACCACAGGATGAGCAGGGAAGCCCTCGTTCAGTACCTGTGCTACTGGCAACACTGTTAAGACTGACTATACTTGATCCTAATAGTTGATCCTGCAGAAAGGGAGTAAGGGTAAATTTCCTCCCATCTTGCAAGGTCCCCAAAATTAAGCTCCAAACAAAAAAATGCAACAAACCCCCACACAACACATGTCCCATCTTTGATCCAGGAAACTTATTCAGTAAGAATGTCCATGACTATATATCACCTTTATATTTTTTAAAAAGCCAGTTTCCTGCGCTGTTATCTGGAATGTGAAGAACTGTTCTCTCTCCTCTTTGAGTGATACACCATTCTAAAGAATTAACTTTTACTTGAACTTGCACTTCCCTTCCTTTTCTCAAACTTTGTGTCAATTTCCCTATGGTTTTCTACTTTGATCACCTTTTTATTTGCCACTCCAGATAATCTTGTCAGCAAACAAATTCAGTTGAAATTTACAAATCTGCCTCTATCCCAGAGTAAAAACCTCATTTGTCTCCTTATTCCTTGTAGTGGATGGTCCATCTCCTCAGCTCAAGCCCCACTGGACTAAAATAAATTCTCAAATTCTTTCTGGCGGACCCTCTACCATCTCTCTACTTGGTCTTTAGGGTACTCTGACCTGCACCTCTCACCTAATCTTAAACCAGACAGGTTTTCACACCCAGACCACGTTTACATTTTGCAAACTTTCTGCGTAACATCTCTGAAGCACAGATATCATCCAATCAATTCTTTGTACTTCACAACTTGATTTTTGCAGGTAAAGGCAATCTTACCCTGCTTTCTTCCAAGCAGATCACAATTAAAAGGGTCATTTTACCAGTCATTTTGACTGCCTTTACAGCCATCTGCTAATTTTGCTCTTTCTGTAACCAGGAAGCTGAAGAAGTTACACTTTCTGGCTCAGTTCTAAACTGTAACTGAAGTCTCCCCCATTCATCTGAGGGTAAAATAATGATATGACTAAGATCAATGAGATTCGGTGCCACCACCATTCAGTCATAATAAAAAGCTGTGGGACAAGCTGAACAGCATGCCACAATGCACAGGTTCTCAAGCCAAACACACTGATGAGCCCCACAGTGGTGGAAAATCTCTCCCTCCCTAAGACCCCCAGGCAAAATGGCAATATAAGCAGTAAATAATATAGAAACGCAACATACAGAACTGAGCCTTTACTTACCTATTGAAATACTTAAAACACTTCACTCTCTGATAGTTTGAAGAAGTTAAAGACTGAGAGGAAGATTATTATTAGAATGCTCTGCCATTTTCAGCCTTAGTGCTGCATAAATACAAACCGTATTACAAAGCAGAAATAAAGGAGTTTTTAGTAGAGGTCCTAAAAGTCATCAGAGTAATTATTATATATTTCATGTAACACCCTACACTGTGAGGAAGAGTCATGTATTGTAGAAGACACACACTGCTATCCAGCATGTTACAAGCTATCCACAGTTTTAATTACCTGGGCAATTGAGAAACTGAGACCTATTGTCTTCCCGCTCTTTAAGAGATTCTGTAGTCTTTTACTATGGATAACGCTGTCTAGATAGGCCCAGAGCTTCTCAACAACTTCATCCTCTAGTTCAGGTTTCTTATTGTAGTATGAAACTAATGCATGGCTCACCCAATCAAGTAATACCTGTTAACAAAGAGAAAAGAAGTAATCTTTAATAACCCCCATGCGAAAACATGACAAAAGTAGTACCTATTCACAATTACAGCACTCATGCCTTGAGAACTACCCTACATCCAAGCAGAACAGGGTCTGAACGAGCAGACAAGTCCACCCCTTTTTTTCAATTCCTAAGAGCTTTCATTCTAAATCCATTGTCAGCCCTGTGCTCCCCTGTATCACCTCAAAACAGGTTTCAGGAGTCAACATCCTAAGGCCCTTTCATCAGGGCATAATTCTAACAGTTGATACTGAAGAGCAAATACGGTCTTTTAAATCAAAACTTAAAGAACTTTCTGCTAATTGCTATTCCTTTCACATCCTCCTCTATGCATGTTTAAATTTACTACCTAGAAATTCAGGCCTAGGAGTTTGGATGTCTGTGAACTGGAAAAGCTTGAAATCTACTCATTTAAATTGTTGATTTTAAAATAAAATTGCGGTGTATGGCTAGGTTTAATCTTCTAAGTAGCCAAAATGACAAAAACTCAAAACAGACATCTCAAGTGGTGCAAACCCTAGACCCACAAAATTGCTAGTCTGGAGGAGCAGCACAAGACACCCCTCACTTGGGCAAACACTAATCAGACCTTCAGGAAACAGGGTCAAAACAAAAGACTTGAGGGGACAGGGTGGGTTCCCAGCAGAGAACACCAAACCGCCTTTCAGGGAGAAGCCCGTCAATCCACAGGGCACCCTTTGTTTGCACAAGTTTAGAAGACCAGAAAACAGGCATCTAGCTACAATCAGTTCTCCCACTCTTAAGTTGCTCTTAACTATGACTAGAAGCGTCAGACTTTAGAAGATCCTGTACAGAATATAATAACCAATGCTAGTGACAGCTCTGAAGACAACAGTTTCTCATCTATCCAGGAGACAGAACACAAGTATCAACCTCTCCGTAAGAAAGACCTTCTTCCTGCCCTAAAGCAGATCTTTCTGCTGAAGCAACTTGAAAGACAGCGTTATTAAAACATTTCATATAACTTCACTGAAATCAAGAGCTGCCCACAATTCCACACCAGAGGTATGTCTGCACTGCTACCTAGAGTCAAACGCTTAAGCAACTAGATCTGGATTTTATGACTCAATTCATCACCAGCAGCAATTAACTATCGGGATTTTTTTTTTCTTTCGCTGCTTACCATTGAAAAATACTTACTTGCTCCTTATTAGGAAGCACACACTGGTGAGAAATCCACGCAAAACGGGCTAGTTTGAGTTTGTCTTCCCAGGAAGTCTTGGCGCTTTTCAGCTTCAGGTAAATCCCAGAGTAGATGGCTGCCATGTGGACGGCACACGGGAGAGGCGCAGAGACACGACTGAAAGAAAGGTCGGACGAGGAGAGGGCAGTCGGACGGGAAGGCGGCCCCGCACCCCACACCTGTCCGGCGGCCGCAGGCGCCCACCGCCGCTCGGGGCCTAACCGCCTCCCCCTCAGCGGGCACCCCCGCTCCCCGGCGCCCAGCTCCCCCGGCCTCTCGCCTTCCCCCCCTCGCGAGGACCTCACTCCCTCTCTCGCGGGGATCTCACCCCCCCGGCGCTCCGCTCCCGCCCGGCCC